TTCAATTGTTCACTAAGATGCTAATGAGTTAATTGTAGATGGCAAATTTGTATCTCGAAATCGCTTGCCCTGTTTCCGAACTAATTTTTACTGACTTTTTTTTTTTACAACAAACTTTATCAATTATTATCTAAATTTAACTTAACAAAATATTAAAAAAAAAATTGAGAGATATTTTTACAAAAGGACATATTATTCCAAAATATTTTCTAATTTTTATTGGTTATATGTAGAACTGTCAATTCGAGTAAACTGGTCGGGTTTGGATCGGGTAAGAGTGGGTTGGGTCAACTTGGATCGGGTCAATTCAGGTTAATGTCATAACATATGTCGGGTCGGGTTGGGTCATGCTTGAGTCGGGTCACGTAGGGTCATACATTTTATCGGGTTTGTGTTGGATTAATAACAAGTCGGGCTACATTCGGGTCGGGATTAATTCGGGTTTCATGGGTTAAAACTGGTTAGGGTAATTCTCGGGTTTGAGTCGCGTTTGGTTCAAGTCGATAATTTGCGGGTTAGAATCAGGTCGGGTCATTTTTGGGTTTGACTCGGGTTCGGTTCAAGTCAATAATTTGCGGGTTATAGTCAGGTCGGGTCATTTCCAAGTCAGGTCATTCTCAAGTTCAAGTTGGGTTCGGTTCAAGTCAATAATTTGCGGGTTACAATCAAGCAGGGTCATTTTCAAGTCGGGTCATATTCGGGTTCAACTAACTATAAATAGATAATTATCATTTTTATCACACTAATTATTTCCTTTGACTATAATATACTACCTCCGTTTCTATTTAGTTGACACATTATGACTTTAGCACTATTCACACCACCCTTTGACCGTCTTTTGTGCTTTATATGGAATGAAAAATATAGTCATGTGGGATCTTGTTAGATTTGTCATGTTATATACTTTTAAAATATCAACTATTCATAATTTTTGTTTATCGCTAATTAAAGATATTAATGATTGAATAAGTGCATTGGCAAACGTGAATAAAGAAATGTGTCAACTAAAAAGAAACGGATGAAGTATATGGCAACATACTAGGGAAATATATCTTATAATTTAGGAAGATAATTATCTCCTTTGACCATAAAACAAATATATACTATATTTAACGCTCAAATTTGGGGATGATGCTCCTTTCTTTTGTTGGCCTGGACCGACTTGGTCTCTCTAGACAAAATGCTTTGATCAACAATAATAAGATGGTCTAAATTGAATTTAAAGTGATTTGAAATGGTCAAGAACAATTTGGGTTAAATTTAGGTTGGGTCAATAACAAGTTGTGTTGATTTCGGGTCGGGTTAGTAACAGATCAAATTGAATTTTTGGGTCAGGCTAGTAATAGGTCAGGTAAAATTCGGGTCGGGTCAATAACAAGTCAGGTTGAATTTGGGTCTGGTCAATAACAAGTCGGGTTGATTTCGGGTTAGTAACAAGTCGGGTTAAGAACGGGTCGGGTTGAATTTGGATTTTGGCGGGTTAAAACGGGTTTGGGTCAATTTCGGTTCAAGTCAGGTTCGGTTCAGGTCAATAATTTACGTGTTACATTCGGGTCGGGTCATCTCCAGGTCGGTTCATGTTCGGGTTTGGGTCTCACATACTCGGGTCAATTCGGGTCTAGGGTTGGTTTCAGGTCGGGTTTGGATCACCATTTTTTCGAGTTCAGATGGGCCGGTTAATAATTGAGTTCGGATCGAGTCAGCTTTTGACAGCTCTAGTTATATGTTCAACCAATATCCAAGATTTTCAAGAAGGGTAGCAAAACTAATTCATACGGTATGTATCAATTGCCAGCCACGAATTAACATCTAGAATGAGGAAAAGTCCTAAGACTACAAGGATGACCCTTATAGTACGGTAGTTGACCGGGAAATGGACATATTTTAACTTATTTGAGCTATCAAAATCGTGATTTAAGGTTCCGTTTATTTCGATAGAAAATAAAATTCATGGAAAATCATTTTTAAAAGATAATAATTTTTGATGGAAAACATGATTGTGAAAAGAGTTTCCCTTTGTTTGGTTATAGAAAAACATATGGAGAAAAAGAGTAGCGGAAAATGGAAATACAAGGGAGGGGATCGATGAAGGAGAGAAAAAACAGAAGCACGGAATTAAAAAAAATAAAGTGACATGCCTTCTTTACAAAAAAAAAAAAAAAAAAAAAAAAAAAAAAATAAATAAATAAATAAAATTTATCGAAGATGTAACTTTCCACATATGAAAAAATTGTTGTATACCTCTAATAAAACAAACAAAGAAAATGAAGAGCTTGAGGAAAATCATTTTCATGGATCCAAGGTTGAAACTTCTACTCCACTACTAATTTTTCGATGTAGATGTGTGGAATGAGGCACAATGAATGAAGATCACTTCGAGCCTGTTCACTTTAGCTTAATTTTAATGCAATTCATTTCAGTTCAGTCCAGCTCTAATTAGTTCAGTTTAGTTCAGTTAAGTTTCTAATTTATTTCTTTCATAGAATATTCATTTCAGTTTAGTTCAGTTCAGCTCAGCTCAGTTTAGTAAATGTGATTAGACGCTTTATGTTGTGGATGTATGAATTATAATACAAACGTCTTCTAGTGGATGAAATCGATTTAATCAAAATAAATCTATTTATTCAAAATATAATTGGGGATACATTATAGTCGTTATTTCACACAATGGAATAATAAATACATCGTACAATTAGACTGCTAATTGAGCTTCATCATAATTTTGTTGTCACTCAATCAAACTTCTCATGATAAAAAAGACGTAATTCTACAAAAATGTAAAATACTTTCATGATACAATTGAAAATGATCGATCTTTGACGATTCATTCTACTAGAATACCTTTTAAAAATTGAGACAATTTTCCAATCAATTCCAATTTGTAAACACTTGTACTATATAAGTATATGTTCATAAGTCCCATTAACTCATGGTGTAGTGTACGAACCAAGTAACAAACACTAAGCTTAATTACAAATTGCAATGAATTATTTCACAAAATTGCTCCAATTTCTTCCATTATTACTTGTTTTGATCTTCTCAACTTCTTCTCTTGTCATGGCAAGAATGAAAGTTATTAGCAAATCAAGAATAAAACATAACAATCATGGCGTCGTAAAAACCATGAAATCTTCTCTTGATGATGATGTTAACATTTTACATTACCCACAAACACTTGATCAATTCAATTATCAACCACAAAGTTATGCAACATTCAAATAAAAGTATATCATTAGTTATAAGTATTGGGGAGGTGCCAAATCTAAGTCACCTATATTAGTCTATCTTGGAGATGAAGAACCACTAGATGATGATACGCCTAGTGAGCTCATTATCAACGATTACGCTCAACGTTTTAAGGCTCTATTGGTTTGTATTGAGGTAAATTTTATTTGACACGCCTTCTGTCCCAGAATAAATAATGTCATAGTCAAACTTTACACTAATTTGACCTTCTTTTTATTACATGATTAAATATTAATGAAATTTATTAAAAATATTATATTATGATCGAAACTTTATATAAAAACCTATCTAATAGCATATTATTGTTACTAATGAAAGTATTTGTTTTCTTTATATAGCATCGATTTTATGGAGGATCGATTCCTTTTGGTATGTCAACGGAAGAAGTCACAAAAATTGCAAATATTCGTGGATATTTCAACTCTGCACAAGCTTTAGCTGATTTCGCAGAGTTAATTTTGTACCTTAAACAGAAGCATAATGCACACTATTCTCCTGTTATTGCTGCTGGTGGATCATACGGTGGAAGTAAGTCATAATCGTGCAGTCTCAATATATACATTTTTCTATCGTTAATGTTTCTATATAAAAAGTACATACTAAGACGAATCAAATAATAATTTAATAAGGCCCTATTCTTTTGAGGTTCTGGGCAGAGCAGAGCAGATTTCAGCAGAGCAAAGCAAAGCAGAGCGGAGCAGAGCAGATTTCAGCAGAGCAGAGCAGATTTCAGCCGAGCCGAGCCGAGCAGAGCAGAGCAGATCAGATTTTATTATTATTATTATTATTATTATTATTATTATTATTATTATTATTATTATCATCATCATCATCATCATCATCATCATTACTACTACTACTATTATTATTAAATATTAATTATTATTATTATTTTTTTGAAAGAAATATTTATTATTATTATTATTATTATTATTATTATTATTATTATTATTATTATTATTATTATTATTACTACTACTACTACTACTAATATTATCACATTATTATTATAATCATTAAATTTTTAAAGTTAAATATTAATTATTATTATATTAATTATAATTATTATTAAATATTATTTAATTATTATTATTAAAAATTAATAATTAGTATTATATTTAAATATTAGTTATTATCTTAATATTAATCGCTATTATAAAAATCAATTATTGTTATTATAATTAATATTATTAGTTATAAGTATTATTATTACTATTAGTATAATTACTATTATTATTACTATTACTATTATTATTAAATATTAATTATTATTGTTATTATTATTATTATTGTTATTAATAATTATTAATAATTTATTATTATTATTATTATTATTATTAAATATTTAATAATTATTTTTTAATAATAATAATAATAACAATTATTATTAATAAATATTAAATAATATAATTAATATTTAATATTTAATAATTATTATAGTTATCTATTATTATTTATTTATTATTATTATTAAATATTAATTATTAATTATTATTATAATAATTTAATATTCAGTATTAATTTTAAGTAGAGCAGGGCAGAGCAGAGCAGAGCAAAGCAGATTTCAGCAGAGCAGAGCAGAGCAGCTCTAAAGAACGGGGCCTAACTTGCATAAGTATAGAGATTTTTTTGTTGTTTGGAAAGCCACAAGGACGGGGGTGAGAATTAATACCAGGATAGATCTCGTAAAGCCGGGAGGAAATCTCTAAACATTTGAGCTATCCACATTTTCTTTTCTGTATATATATACTTTTATGGCACTATATTTTGTACATAATTACCCTCGCTCATATTATTTTTTATGTTACATACAGTGCTAGCTTCATGGCTCCGGCTAGTATCCCCATGTTGTCTTGGGTGCCCTAGCCTCATCGGCTCTTGTGTTATACTTTGACAAAATTATTCCACCAAATCATGGATATTACTCTGTCGTCACCAAGGATTTTAAGGTAAATATAACATGGTATCATTTTTTAGTCTGTAGGGGAGAAGGGCCCTCCCAGGCTAGAACCTTGTATAGACACTCTTAGCCCGAGTTAGTGGGCTAGATGCTTTTAGGGAAGGGTAAGGAAATCCACACCTCAAAGTACCTCTAGTGGGATTTGATCCCGCAATCTCTTGATTGTGAGATGCAAACTTTCACACTAGCTCGCTTCATGGCTTCGGCTAAAGTATCCCATGTTGATATTGATTTGTGAGTTGCATTATGTTGTATTGGTTTTGTAGGAAACAAGTAAAAGTTGTTACGAAACCATCAAAAATTCATGGGCTGAGATTGATAGAATTGGGGCAAAGCGGAATGGTCTTTCTATTTTGAGCAACAAGTTTAAAACTTGTATGTAAGTGATAATAATTCCTTTTAATTTATTTACTTGGACATAAGTTTATCACTTAAAGTTATAAATCTATTCGTGTCAATCAAACAACTAAAGTACAAATTTTTTAAATATTTGATGCGATAATTTATTCCATTTTAATTAAAAAATTATGGAGTACAAAAAATCTTGTGAGCTCATCAATCAAATGAATTAATTTAAGGTAGACTTTTTCAATAATAATGCGAGTAACAAATTGTTCTAGCAATAATACAAAGTATTACTCCGTACTAATATTGTGTCACCATTTTTTTTTTCTTTTGAAACAATGTCAGCATCTTAATTACTACCTCCGTTACAGATTATGTGCAACGATTTGACATAAAGTAGAGAGGGAAAATGTCTAATCGTTGCACATAACCTGTAACGGAGGTAGTACTTATTGAGCAAGCCTATAGTTCTTTTTTTTTTTTTTTTTTACTTTATTTTCAGTCGTCATTTGAACTCAATATATTACATGGTAAAAGAATGTATGACACCCAATGATGTGGTGTTACAATAGCACCAATGAACTATTAATTTGGTTCAATTCATATCATTTTGTCAACGCACGAATTGTCTAATATTGTTAAGTGTTAACTACTCAGTTATTATTTTATTTTTTATTATGTGTAGGCAATTGAAAAATACAAGTGATCCTAAGGACTTTTTGAGAACCCATGTTTATGCGCAAGCAGCTCAATATAATATCCCTAGTGTGAGCAGCATTTGTGAAGCAATAGACAGTGGAAGCAAAAAAGATATACTTGCTCAAATTTACGCAGCAGTCGATGTATACTCGGCCAATTCATAGGATGGGATTGGCAGGTAAATTAACCTAATTTATACCTTTATTGGAAAAGCACATACAATGGAAAGCAAAGAAGAGTACAATATTTGTGTCTTGAAATTTCAGAGTTGTAGTGAAATGGTGACGCCTATGTCGTATGGCACAAATAAGGATTCTATGTTTCCATTTGAAACTTTTAACATGCTCAAATTTATCAAGGAATGCAAACAAGAGTACAATGTTGTGCCACGACCACATTGGATCACAACTTATTATGGAGGGCATGTGAGTATGGAAAATTTCTGTCTTTTTTTCAATTCTTTACTGCATGAGTTCAACTTATTTATTCTCCGTTCTCATTTTTATTGTTTGAATATTTTTAATGGATTAGTTTAAAAAAAAGCTTTCCAAATGAATATGACATAATATTATCCACTACAGGATATGAAGCTGATTTTGAATAAATTTGGCAGTAACATTATTTTCTCCAATGGACTAAGAGACCCTTATAGTAGTGCTGGGTAATCCTCCTAATCCCTTTGGACTAGAAAATGCTTTTTATTTATTTATTATTTTCTATTGTGTTCTTTAACACATATTCATCAATTAATTAACCTTGCTTTTAACTTAAATTTGTGCAGGGTTTTAGAAAACTTATCAGAGAGCATAATTGCCATATATACCACAAATGGTTAGTATGCAACGTCATGTCATTTAAGTGCTATCTATTATTCTTCTACTTCATCGGATCTTAAAGTTGTTTTATTATATATATATATATATATATATATATATATATATATATATATGTATATATATATATATTTGCGTATATTACTATATATGCGTAATCCTCACTATTAGGTACAAAGTACTCCATAGTCAAAGATATTAATAGTTAGTGTAACACGTAGGCAAAATATACATTCAAAGTGCAAAGCATATGAGTAAGAAGTGTATTAAAGAATTTATTTGACATTAACTAAAGAAAGCAAAATGTTACCTAAACTTTTACTTTAATTAACTTAAATATTTGTAGGAACCCATTGCCAAGACATGCTTGCTGCAGAAGAAGATGATCGGGAATGGTTAGTTCATCAAAGAACAAAACAAGTTGAAATTATCAATGGGTGGTTCAAGATATATTATGAAGATCTCAAACAATATTTGAAATGATTTTGCTATTTTTGTTGTGTTACTAATTTATTTTGTATTTTATGAAATTCTAGTACTTATAAATTATATACTATATACTATTTTTTTTTTAACATAAAAGGAAGCATGCATTACTTGGGCATAGCCCCTAAAAACTATTACATCCTAAAGTACAAAGAATAGCTTATCTACAAAATGCATTCTCAAAGTATCATACTACTTTACTTCTAAGAGTGTTTTTAAAACAGACAACTATACAGTGATAAAATAGCTTGACAAAACTAAGTGAGCTGAGGAAGAGCCTTGAGGTCAGCTTCATAAGCAGCTGCAACGCTCACTTGACAACAAAATAGTTTATCTGATAATCTATAATAAATCTGTTAAAAAACATAATATAATCACAATTATAGACTTCTGCATTGAAAATAATTCCATTTCTGAGCTTTCAAATCTGCCTCATTTCCATAACAAAGATACATCTCTACTTTGGGGTCTTACAGAAGTTGTAAGCTATCCAATCTATCTATATACGGTATACATATATAGTTGTATGTAAGGGCCTGTTCATATTTACTTATTTTCAGTTCAGTTCAGTTCAGCTTCAATCAGTTCAGTTCAGATCAGCTTCAATCAGTTCAGTTCAGTTCAGCTCTTAATTTTCCTCTCTCATAAAATATTTATTTCAGCTTAGTTCAGTTCAGCTCCAATCAGTTCAATTTAGTTCAGTTCAGTTCATTTCAATTCAGTTCAGTTCAGTTCAGTTCAGCTCCAATCAGTTCATTTCAATTCAGTTCAGTTCAGTTCAGCTCCAATTAGTTCAGTTCAGCTCAGTTCAGTAAATATGAACATGCCCTAAGTTGTGTATAATTATTTTATAGGAATAAAGTGAATAAACTTCCAAACGATTTGCCCCTTTTAGAACAAAATGACACTTCTTTTGTTCTTTTACGTTATGATTTATTGATAACAAAAAAAAAAAAAAAAAACAAAAATTCAATTTATTCATGTAGAATTTTATTAGATTTGTAACCACTAAGAGATTTGGGTACACAAATAGGCTTGTACATATTGGACCAAAATAACCGTAAGGGTTAAGGTTTGGTCAAGGTTCACTTTACCGTATAAAAAAAGAGTAGGCTTGTTACGCTTGTACTAGGGTTGGTCTAGTGAGAAAATTTATACTTCTATCTAAGTAGGATCAAACTCCACTGAAAGTTATTTGGGGTGGGGATATTCTTACCCTCCCTCCCCCCCCCAAAAAAATAATCCACCGATAATCTTGGGTGGGTGAACCTGTGAATAGGTTCTAGCATAATATATAAATTAGTAGGACCCTTCTCATTAGCTAGAAAAAAATAGAGTAGGCTAGCCTTGGACTTTGACCAACAAAGTGTTAATTCACCTAATGAGAGTTAATTCTAGAGGTCTAAACTTCAAATTATACCAAGTGAGGTATTTGGAGTGGACTAGATTCATTAACTATACCCCCTCCTCTTAAATTTCTAGCCTTCAAAAACTAGACTAGAAAACCGTGATAGACATCACCTGCTTATTACGTTCGTTTTATGTCGGCTAACCAACCACTTTTAAATCATGACACAACCTAAGCTACCTCTTACTTTGTAGGTTGTTCTATGTCAGGCGTGCTCAACAAATAAAAAAAAAAACATACCAAGTATTAAAAGAAAGCCATCTAAAAAATCATTTGAGGTCGTGTTTATCTCATGTCCGACTGTGCGGTTCACTAGGCTAGCCCGACCCATTGCCATCTGCCAAACCTCAACTTATCGTCCCTTTAATATTGTGCTCAATACGACTACACCAGTAGTCAATAAGCTTATTGTTTGGCCCCCAAAAAAATAAAAAATAAAAACTCATTGCTCAAAAATGGCGTTTTGAGTTTTCGCCAAAATAGTGCAGATTAAAAATGGCGTTTCTATTCCAGAAATTTCAAGAGGTTTGTTCTCTCTCTACCAATTTACATTTTCTTCATTCATTTTTATCTTCCATTTTTGCGATTCATTTGTTCACATCAGTTGCTCTACTTCGCAATCAATCTCAAATTTTTTTTGCTGGGTTTTTACGAGATTTTAGCATTCATGTAAAATTTATGTTAATTTCAGATTTTCAGTATGTATAATTGCAATAATTTCAAGTTACAATGCTATAATTTGTGTTAATTTAACCCTAAGTTTATTGTGATGAATTTCTTGCATTTATGCTTTGTGAATGATGCATTTAAGTGTGTTGATTTTACTCTCAGGCTGTGAAAGTTCTTGCTAAAAGTCCTACCTTTGCTAAAGATCCTAGGAGTCTTCAATTTGAAGCTGACATTAATCGTCTCTTCCTTTATACCAGGTTGGTTTCGATGTTTTGAAACTTTTACTTTTCTCGGGTTTTAATTGTTGCGTTACTAGTTCAAATTACACTATCAACATGATTGTTACTCCGTATGTTTCAGACGAAACGGAAGGGATGTTTGTCATAAATGTGTTTGATGGACATTGTATAATTTTGGAAAATCCTGATATTTCTTGTTTGCTGTAATTTGTACAAAGTTATGCTGTGATTAGGATGTGAAATTAGTTGATGCGATCAATAGATTGAAATTTTCCAACATAACTTTTGGACAATTTTTGGAATAGTTATGAGTTTTGTGTGTCATGGCCTGCAAATATTCAGGTGGGAAAAGATTTTCCTTAGTATGATAGCCTTCGATTGGTGAAGTTGGAGAGCAGGGGTATTGAGGTAGACGAAGATAGGGAAATTGTCAAAGCATGATTATCCATGATCGATTCTCAAAGGTATTGTAGTAAAAGTTGATGGATTCACAGATGCAACAACCCTCCATAGTCCATGATTAGTGGTATTGGGCTTTTGCAGTTCTTACCCTGAGAATGTTTGTGAAACAACCCTCCATAGTCCATGATTAGTGGTGGTGTCTTTTATGCAACGAGTTAGTATCAGTATCTTGGAGAGATGATATTCAATGTGAGCCTTTCATGCTATCATTCGATGTGAAATTTATCTAATGAAGTATCTCTATTGATATTGTTTTCATGGTTCTTCTACAAGTCCACATAACCCCAAAATTTTACATCACAAGATATGGATTTGCTACTATATGTGTGTACAATCCTGATCCCAATATATGCGTAATATATCATAATTAGTTTGCATTACCTGACTTATTCACCTACAGGGGATGGAGGTAGGGTAGGGGTCGTGACTGGGGAGGGAAAGGGAGAGGGGTTCAATTTGACCCTTTTGTTCTGAAAAAGCATTGTCTACAACCATAAAGAATTCGAGACAAGAGTATCAAATGATTTACTTATGAATGTCTTCTGCTTGCAGCTATAACCGCATAGGAAAAGATGCTGACGAGGCAGATGTGGAGGAAATAATTGATTTGGCTAACAAAGCTTCCTTGGCTGACCAACAAAAGCAAGTTCAAGAGAATATTCATTCTCAAATAAAAAATTTCTGCACGTTCATGGATGAAATTCTTCTTCCTGCCAAGGAAACTGAGGAACAGTTTGAATCAGCTGCACGAATAGATAAGGATCAGCCACGAAGTGGCCTTAGGTTTGCTCTTGGCCGTACTGGAAGCTCTCCTAGTAACCAACCTGGTAATTTTTTCTTCAGGTTCCTGAATTTAGCTTGCTCTTTGTTGAATATGAAATTAATAATTGATAGCATTGCTATTTGTCTTCTGCCTATGCTACCTCTTATTAATCCAATATTTAAATACAATGATATCTTCAATCTTTAACTTGCAATGGATATAAATCATGTAATTTTTATTAATATATTTCTTGTAAGCAAGTGTAAGATATTGTATTAACTACACAAACTAATTTATAATGCCTTCTAGTGCATATCAAACTTTCTAGGAAGGACTTTTCATTTAATCAATCAAAGCCTGAATCCCATAAGCGGGGTCGGCTCTAGGAAGGGCTTTTCAGAAATATAATTAAATACTAAAATAGAAAAGCATTCAGGCTTTAAGCCTCAAGCTACATACAGTCTTACAGTTTTACACATCAAACCAATCTTTATCCCTACAACCTAACCCTAACTTAAGTGTAATGAGATTATTTGCTTTGACTTTCCAATTCTTCTTGGGACTTAAATATTCCCATAAAATATCATTTCTTGTAGTCATAGTGTTAGAATCCAACTCCTTTTGATGTATTAGATTCCATTTAAGTGCTTTCCTAGAGTTTAGGTTATGTTTTCTTAGCTTGAGGTCCCATTATTGTGTTACTGTCAGATCAGTGTTCACTAGGGATTCTCCTTGTATGTCATTTAAAGCTCTTTAGAGGGCGAATGATTAATGAAATCTTGAAGCCTTCTACCAAGTGTTGCCTTGCTTTTATGCTTGTTTGTTGTTAGACCTTTATAGATATTGTGTCTTACTTGCATATTAGCTCCCCTCCAACCCAACTTGATGCGCTAAGGACTCGTGGTTCGGACCCGCTTGTGCCCGCTTTGAAGTATCAGCCGTCACAAGCCCCGACCACCCGCACTCCGTCGCCCAGATAGACGTGAGTGCTCCTGAGATTTTATTGCCAGCTTGTGTTGCTTTGTGCTCACAAGCCCCTCTTCCGCTCAAGGCTAGCGTTCTTGCCGCCAAAAGGCTAGAGCGCGCCGCACGTTTCGGGGTCCAAACTCCCGGACCGTGACAGTTGGTATCAGAGCCGAGGCTCAAACCTCGTCGCAAGCAACCCGTGTAGGCACCAAGGAGGGCTACACGAAGATGGAATTCGTAGAAGAAAGGCTCGCTTGGCTCGAGGAGAAGGCGGACAAATGGGCCGAGCTCCAAGTCATTGTACACGAGCAAGCCGAGCAAATTGTGAAATTGATGGCTGACAGAGATGCCCTCCGCGAACAATTGCAATTTGTTCAAGGAAAAGCCGACGAAGCACTTGAGAAATGTGCTACCTTAACGCGCGCTGTGGGCAGAGACGCACTGGGTGTTGGTGCGGCGAAGATAAAGCCGCCCAAACCTCGCGACTACAGTGGCGCTAGAGATGCGAAAGAAGTTGATAACTTCCTCTTCGACATGGAGCAGTACTTCCGAATATGTCAACTAAGTGACGATCAGAAGGTGGATACTGCCATCATGTACTTGTCCGAAGATGCTAAGCTGTGGTGGCGCACCAAGCATGCAGACATCGAAGCAGGAAGGATCAAGATTGATACATGGGCGGAGTTCAAAGAGGAACTCAAAGAACAATTCTACCCCGTCAACACAGCGTTTGTTGCACGGATGAAGTTGCAAGAGTGCCGCCAGAAGAGTTCTCTTTGCAACTATGTTAAGGAATACTCGGCGATAATGTTGGACATCACAGACATGAATGAGAAAGATCGTGTGTTCAACTTTGTCAACGGGTTAAAGGAATGGGCGCAGCGAGAGATTTTGAGGCAGAATATTGATACCCTCGCTGCTGCTATGTGTGCTGCTGAGAGATTGATGGACTACTCAGTCGGGAAGGGTCGTCAATCCGAGAAGGATTCAAGTGGGACGTCAACACGCTCTAACAGTCCGTCTCCAAGCTCTCCAAAGGGTACAGAGAACGGCTCACGAGTATCGTCCAACACCATTAATACATATCATAGAAGAAGTGGAGGAGGTGATGCCCAGAGACAAACATCTACCCCCTCCCACAACTCAGGAAACTCGAGGGCCGGCGCATCCTCGGCAAACACAAGGGCAATAAACTGCATACTTTGTCGAGGTCCACACAAATGGTGGGATTGCGAGCATAAAGAAGAACTTGACAAGATCCAAAAGAGATTGTCATCCATGTCCGTTCAGGAGGCCACAAAAGAGACTAGCAGCGATGAGGAGCCCACATATAGGATGGGTTCCATACGACGCCTGAGTGCTATGAGAATGATAACACCTCAAGGAGAACCAGAAGTCCGATATCTTTCGGCAATGCGAGTGACGGAGCCTGAGAAGAAGGCAACATCGAAGAAACAAGCTCGCACCAGAAACCCAGAGAAGCGGGAGATGAAGCCCATGGAGTTGGCAACATCCCAGATACACACCCGCGAAAACCAGAATCAGTCACAAGGTTCGAAGCAAAGAGCGACGAGCCCAGAGACACCAAAGAGACACCAAAGAAGAACCTCCCAAGAGGGAGGAAAAACAGTGGTTGAGCAAACAACGCAGGGCGCGTGCAAGGGATTACAAAGAAAATGGTCACCCAAGAGGCACCAGCCACAACTTGAAGCTTTCCACCACAGTCTCAAGGAAGCAGCTCCCCAACAGATGATGGTGGAAGCAGCTGTCCCCCTTAATTCAACAGATTCCACTCCCAGGAGGAAATTTAGAGATGAAGCTCTCAACAAGATGTTCAAGCCGAGCGACTCCAGAGACAAGCTCCTCGTCAACAAAGAAGATCCAGCTCAAGAGTCAGATAAGATTCCAGAAGATAGCCGCACCAACGGCGCATCCGAAACTTGAGATAGTTTAGGGTTTTCTAATTTTGATTGTAAATTTTGTAAGTCGACGAGGTCGTCGACAGCTTAAGTGGGGGAGGATGTTAGAATCCAACTCCTTTTGATGTATTAGATTCCATTTAAGTGCTTTCCTAGAGTTTAGGTTATGTTTTCTTAGCTTGAGGTCCCATTATTGTGTTACTGTCAGATCAGTGTTCACTAGGGATTCTCCTTGTATGTCATTTAAAGCTCTTTAGAGGGCGAATGATTAATGAAATCTTGAAGCCTTCTACCAAGTGTTGCCTTGCTTTTATGCTTGTTTGTTGTTAGACCTTTATAGATATTGTGTCTTACTTGCATATTAGCTCCCCTCCAACCCAACTTGATGCGCTAAGGACTCGTGGTTCGGACCCGCTTGTGCCCGCTTTGAAGTATCAGCCGTCACAAGCCCCGACCACCCGCACTCCGTCGCCCAGATAGACGTGAGTGCTCCTGAGATTTTATTGCCAGCTTGTGTTGCTTTGTGCTCACAAGCCCCTCTTCCGCTCAAGGCTAGCGTTCTTGCCGCCAAAAGGCTAGAGCGCGCCGCACGTTTCGGGGTCCAAACTCCCGGACCGTGACACATAGGCTGCACACATTAGAGAGAAATTACAAGTTGATATCTTATATTAACAAAAATTGTTAATATCATGGATATTTTGTAAATTCACACCCAATATCTCCTTTCTCTCTCCTCTATCTACACCACCGTCCACTGCACCCCCTCTCTCTCCTCATCTACACTACCGTACCACCGCAGATCATCACTGTCACCACATAATGACCATAACCAGCACCCGCACGACCACTGCACAACCACTAGAACCACCACCCGACCACCGCATGCCCATTAACACCATCGCGCCATCACTGCGGCACCGCACGACCTTTAGAGCCACCCATCGCACCACATCACGACAGTTAGCAGTCTTAGCACCACCGCACAGCTATGAACACCACTTCACAAGCAAATTCCTTTCCCTAAGGATTAATATGGGCCCACTTTACTTGCTTTGCAACTAGGGTGTCTTTTGTTGGCCGGCCGGCCGGCCAATTTATAGTCGCCAAGGTGGTCCATCGCCGGCATAGCCATGGGAGGGAAGGAGAGAGAAGGAAATATTGGTGGTAGTGGAGGAAGATGACTGTACTGTACTTGTATTTTGGAGAAGAAATTGGTGATACTAAAATAGTTTGTTAATATTGGATATCAATTGGGTTGGCCTCCACATTAGACCAAAAAAATGAAATAATTGTAGACCTCTCTCCTGAATTTATTTAATTTATGCTTGCTTATCAGCCATATGGCCATAACTGAAATCTAGGATTCATTACTAACGAAATGTGAATTTATCAAACCCTCCCTTGTTGGCAGCTTGAATTGGAAAGCTACCTAAGCTATGATCCTGTGTTTTGGCTCAACTAGTCTCTGCCAATCAATCTTTTCCCAACTCCAAAATTCATCTTGAAGAGTTTTGAGTTTTTGACAGAGAAGCTCATAAGTTTTTTTTTTTTTTTTAATGGTATAACTGTTGCCTTGTTCTAACTGATCAGCTCTCATCAATAGACCCCTCACATTGCAAAATTGTTAACAGTACTAAGACAAACAACTGCTGTCAGCAGGTGGCTTATAAACAATTCTGGTTTTGGATGTGCACAGAGTGCACCCACTTGACCCATAGGTTATCAACTTATCTTGCTTGATGCTTACATCCCAAACATGCTTCCCCTGCAACATTCCAACTTAAAAGTGTTTCTGATTTAGGCATGTGAGCAGTATGAGCTGAAATGCCCCAAGTCCCAAGCCACATGCTTTCTTAAATCTGCAAACCTTGAAGATTTTCCATACCAGAAAAAATCCCTATCGAGCTTATTAATGATTTGCAAAATACTTTAAGGCAACAGCACAATTTGGGTTCACTAAGCATGGAGATTTATCGGGAAAGAATTATTTAAATTAACCCTTCCAGCAAAAGAGACACTTCTAGAGCTCCACATTCCAAACCTGGTACTTATTTTTTCAATGATATTCTCAGATTCTCCTCCAACACTTCCTAGGCTGAACCTAAGTGAGGTACTTTTGGTGGGTTTGTGTTTGTATATACTCTCTGGATAGCAATAAAATTAAATTTGCCAACAAAAACAAAAACTAAAGTAAAAAATAGATCTAAAAGATAAAAAATAAATAAATAAATAAAAACTCGTAAAAGTATTAATTAAAAAAAAAACAAATGACTATAATAAGGTAATAAAAATGTATTATATATCTAAATATCTAATTATGCACCTAATACAAAAGTTAATGGTTTTTGTGGCATTGTTAGAATCCCTTTCCTATGCTTGTCCTCCTTATTTGGTAGAACATCTTGTTCAAGGGAATTGGGCCTTGCAAATTTTGCTCCATCTTGCTGTGCATCATGTTTTCCTCCATATTTAACACGGGAAACCATTGGAAATTGACAGTCAATATTTATATTCTCTCTTTCTCTTTCATATGCTTGTTTGCTCGTTGTTGCTTGCTGAGCATATATGGTCATTTGGTTTTTTCAACTCCAATTTCTAGGACAAAACTGTCTAAATCTGAAGTTTCTCGGATGTCTGTATCAAGATAAATTAATTATAGGGTCACTTTCAGTGCAGTTGTACCTGAAACGAAGCCATTAAAGCTGGCTGATGTAAGTCAGGGTGTTAAGGAACATTTAGGCTACTCACTTACAGTTCGATCTTCTGAAATTCCACACAAGGATGCTGGCCGAGGTCTATTTCTGGAGGGTGAAGCTGATGTTGGTTCCGTGATAGCAATTTATCCTGGAGTAGTCTACTCCCCTGCATACTACCGTTTTATTCCTGGATACCCAAGAGTTGATGCACACAACTCTTATTTGATCACTAGGTATGATAGTACTGTGATAAATGCCCAGCCTTGGGGTGAAGGAAATGATAACCGTGAATTCTGGGATGGAATGAACTCTCCACAAGCTGCAAAATTTACTGAGCAGATTGCTCAAACTGGTTCTGATCGGGTGTGGAAAATGTTGAGCAAGCCTCTGGAGAGCCCCAGAAGTGGAACCCGTGGTGAGATTCTGGAGCGGCGGAATCCACTGGCCTATGCTCATTTTGCCAACCATCCACCGAAGGATGTGGATCCAAATGTCATGGTTTGCCCATATGATTTCCCGTTGGATGAGAAGGATATGAGAACATATATTCCAAATATATCATTCGGAAATGAAGAGGGAGTAAGGATGAAGAGGTTTGGTAGTTTCTGGTTCAAGTCTGGGAGTTCTGTTCATGGTGTTTCTGATATTCCCATCCTGAAATCGCTTGTTCTTGTGTCCACTCGAACAATTAGCAATGAAGAGATACTACTGAATTATAGGTTGAGCAACTCAAAGCGCCGGCCATCATGGTACACTCCAGTTGATGAAGAAGAAGACCGTAGGAGATGGGGCTGATTGTAAACTATAACTGCCATACCTTACAATAGAAGCAGAGAAGAGCTGTGGTTGTGCTTTCTGATGACCATCAATTCGGTTCTTCAGAAACAATAAAATAATTGTTTTGAATTGGTATTTTCATCTCAAAGTGGTTTTACTTGTATTACCTAGCGGTATGTTAGAATTGATTTTGTTAGCTTCGTTCTTCCTATTTAGATGTGAAACATTTTTGGTAAATCCTATGTCGTTGAACTTTCCTGCAGGACCATCAATGCCAAGTGAAGCAATATTGAACAAGTTATGTTCTGAGCAAGTGTTTGTTGAATCATTGAATTCCTCTTGTGATAAAAAAATTCGTATGTCATTGCTAACAGAGTGATGAAACTTGGGGAATATAGCCTCGCCAAGGTGAAATGAAAAACCCTCTTAAGTAAACCATAAAAGAACTCAAGTGATTTGTATGAATATCAGACTGTTTTTCTTGCAGCCTTGCAGGTAAGTTAATGTTAAAGTTTGCTTCAGTTGTGTCTTCTTCATGTGAAGTACTTCAATAACCAAAAAGGTATGATTCTATACTGCTTGAAATTCAAAACTTAAGTGAACTTTAGTGAAATTTTAGAGCAGTGACAGGAGATATTTTTCATTTCAAATTTAAGTGAAAAGCTCTAGTTGTCTTAACTAATTAGGTAATAATAAGGGGTAAAATGTCTTGCGTTACCCTATAAAGCAAATTGTACTTAAAAACATTACGCCTTAGTTAGATGCCTAACAGTTAGACAATTAATCGAACTATTTTGGGTCCATCACCAAACAGTTAAGTCGCTCTGAACACACATCAAGGTTAAAGGTATACAGGTTTCAAAAATCTATAATTATTAGTTGGAAAACAAGATCCCATGAATAAAGTACATAAGACTGTTGCAGAGTTTACTGTCAAAGAATTTGCAGATGATATTCAGGAAAACTTCCAAAAAGCTATAAATTGCCTAAAAGTTGGAAGATATTCCAATTAGACAAATGCAACCCATGAATATGCCATCCAAATAAAATTGTTTTAAGAGATGAAAAGCAAGTTTTTGGGCCCATTTTTATACACAACTAAATTTGTGCCCTTTTTTCCCCCTTTTCTTCTATACTCTGTCTTCATGCACATGTCAATTAGTGAGTGCTCGCATGCTCTCACTAAATACGCTATATTATCATTGGCTGTGTTCTAACTTGACAAAATATAGGTATAACTTTTTGTATGTAATTGTTTGGTCATAGTTTATTGGGGGTATAATAAATACAACAAAAGTTTGTGTGGTGGTACTATATGTAGTTTGTGAACTTATGAGCAGATTAAATTAGTGATTGATTGGATGAGAGGTTGATTTATTTTGATGACATAGTTTTTTTTTTTGCAAATTTGAAATATTCCGAGTTGAATGTTTGAAATAAACGTAGAAAGTTTTACTTTTGGCACTTTCTATGTGATGAGCATAACAATTTCAAATTCATGGAAAGTAATACTTCCTTCGTTACAAATTACTCGCAACAAAGGGGTATTATTTGTGAGACATAAAATATTCCTTTATTGCGAGTAATATGTAACGGAAGAAGTACTTTCTACGTCTCACTTATTGCCTGCTTATGTTGTATGATCTGATAGAGTATATATAAGGGCCAACGTGTAGTGTAACTGTATATGTTATATCTTGCTACTAAAATTCTATAGAAATACAATTGGCATGTGTACATATGATATGCGATTACGCGTGGTGCATGCAATAGTGGGTAGATTTGGTCCCAAATTGTGACATAAGGTTCGGAAAATCCACTGGCTAATTTTTTCTAAACGAATTTACCGGTTAATTGAAGATTCAGACATGTATGATATGCTTACTTTGTTCTCATCTAGTCACCATTATTTGTTTTCTTAAAATTCTTACAAGTGATCTAGTGATCAACCTTTATTTTATTTTCAAAGAAAAGTTTGATGTATCTTTGTTTGGAATAGTTTGATATTTGGATACATCTTAATTTGGATTTTGGAATAATGTGCTAGTTTGTTTTAGAGCCTTGAAAGATGCATTTTTTTTTTCTTTATTTTTTTTTTCTTTTCTAATTTGAAATCGTAACCTAAAAATTGCAAGGTATATGTAGATTATGTACCATTGAATTTATTAGATTTACCATATTCTAGTTTTTAAAATGCAATGAATTTTTAGCTCCTAAATATTTGGATATTGACTTACTTTTCTTTTCAAGTTCACTTGTTTGCATTCATAGCTTTTCCTTAATGTTGGTTACTATAAATATCAAACTAATTAATATCTTGATCAAGTAGATCAAGGATTGTTTGTATATACTTTTAGAGAGTTATACTTAAGGTTTCTCTATTTATAAGATTAGTAGGTTCTAATGTTTTATACCAAATGAAGTACATGGAGGCACAATGAAAAACCAAATAGTTATTTCACACATTAAGCTGAAAGAATAATCCCCGTAGTTTACCGGTCAAAAAAAAAAAAAAAAAAAAGCTGAAAGAATAATGAGCATGAATCATTTTAAAACATAGTGCGCGGTAGTGTTGGGGCTGGGGTTGACATAGAGAAGATTGTATTTATACCCTTGGTCAAGAGAATTTATCGAGTCTCTTTATAAAAATCACGAAAAAAATCTTAATTTCTAACACTCGAAAAAAATTAGATCATCTAAACTTTAGGTTGATCAAGAATGTGACTACATGGACACATGGTCATGCTTTTGATCATAGTGTTATGTACTCGATAATTAATAATCCAGATAATTCACTAATAATCTTAATTATCATTGCGTACATACACAAAGCTAAGCTAATTACTTAAATTGACTTAGCTATTATCTACACTTAATCTATGAGTTTAGGGTAATTAAGGAGCCTAATCCCGAGGCTTTCATACGTGACTTTTGTGACAACTTTCTTATACTTTCATTTAATCTGGCTGGTCAACGAATAAAGTACAGCAAATACAATCTACTCGTACCCATTTCATTTGGAATTTTTTTTTTTTTTTTTTTTTTTTTTTTTTTTTTTTTTTTTTTTAAGTTAAGATCCCATACGTAAAAGGTGACTAACTTTTTATCAAGATCTAGGAGTTATCATAGTTCGTTAGAAATGCCTCTAAAGCGTCCAAACCATATCTTCATTGATTTAAATATTACTTCAGTTTCATGATAATCATAACAGATTTTGGGTTTCAACCATCAACTTTAGAAAGTTAAAGAAATAATATTCTAACTTTCAATCACAACTTCTCCAAACCCAAATAGTGTTCAGTTTGTATAAATGAAGTACAAAATAAGATAGTGTATGTTGAAATTAACAAGTTTTAATGAACTAGTACGAGTAATTTGATCCAAAAACAACCACACAAATAGCATACGGAGTAATACGGAGTGCATTAAACAAGAACCATTATTAAAATCAATTATACTAAAAGTGGAATGGCGAACATTGATATTGAAGGAGATTCCTGAGGATGGAAGTTTAAGATATTTTCTTGCAAAAATGTTCTCATATGTAATATTTTGGATCAATCTCCTAAAAAAACAAGTTTTTAGATCGGATTTAGAAACAATTGAGTTCAATTACAGAAATATTGTTCAAAATCTATTATTTTTCAATCGGTTTTAGGTCAGGTCGGATTTTGACAAGCCTACTTATTCCGTTGTTCGTTCCTTGTTTAAATTGGTATCTTCATCTGTATTAATCATGTAAAAAAATTGACCAAAGTCCACATAACAGGTCACAAATCATGGCAATGCGACGTATAAAATGGCGACATCTTTGGTTTTCAAAGGTTGCTATTTAAGCTATTGAGCATATTAGCGCAGGATACCCCCACGTTCAATCAATTTATACTGATTTTTATTCTCACCAAATACAATATACAATACATTCTTGTATTTATTATGCCCCTTTATAAAACAATGTGTACGTACTACTCGTATTTATTAAGGGTGAGCAAAAATTCAGGGCATCTTGAATTGAAATTGAAACTTGTAAAGAACCGCATCAGAACCTCAATAAGAGGTCTTGATTTTGAGAAGTAAACTTGAGAAATTGTTACGTACAACTTATTTAGAACCTAAATCTGTAGGGTACTAATTTGCTAAATGGTTTCACTTAATTTCAACTTATGCACCAATTCAAGCCCAATTTTTAAATATTATAAATATAAAAATAACAATAATAAATATATGTATTCAATTTGCTAAACAACTACTTTTGATTTAATTTGTTGTATTTGCGAGATATAAACGTTATAATAAATTAAGTAGGGGTATATTAAAAGGCGTGGAACCCTAAATCAGAACCGAAACATGCGGTTCCTATTATGTGAAACTTGTTGCAATGAGTTCTGGTTCCACGAATTTGTTATGCTCACCCTAGTATTTATTATGCTTCGTTTAGTTTATTTGGAATTCTGCCCCTTTTTACTCTAGGTCTCTATCTATCTTTTATTTTATTATTTAGTATATTGCTTTATATAACAAATATTGGAAGTATTTATTATGAATTATACTAGTTTTTTTTTTTTTTTTTTTTTTTTTTTTTTTTTTTTTTTTTTTAATCATTGCTTATCCCATTAGAATCATCAACTTGATGTATTTTAATCTAAAGTTTGAGTAAAATAATTTGTATACAAATAAAATGAACGTTAATAAATAAACAAGGTAATAGATTTGGCTATTAAAATCTCAATTACTGATTTGGAGGTTGATATGTTGCCTACTTTACTGGATGTGTAAGCTATAGAAGTATATAGAATCAAAGCCAGCTATGTCAATTAATATGATACGATATCATACATTATATATCATACACGATACAAAAATTATCTTGTCATCAATTAATTTCGATCTTATTCCATCCTACCCAGATTCTTCTAACCATACACATCAATATTAAATACGACTACATACATTATTATAAACCTAATAAGTACTCGTATCAACTTATAAGGAAGTATGATATAATGATTCACCAATCACCATGTATCAAAATGTGCTTTAATAGTCCTATACTCCTATCCTATATACACTGTACAAGGTTTTTTTTTTTTTTTTTTTTTTTTTTTTTAGAGATACACTGTACAAGTTTAAAACTTTAAATAAAATACGTAACACAATCATTTTTTTATTTTATTTTTTACAAATATGTACTGTATCAATTAATTTCTCTGATACTAAATCTTCCATTTCCATTATCGGATAAGGTAACATACCATCCCCAAACCAAGAACCCGGAAAAATAAAAAACATTTTTAAGATAATAATATAATATAATCATAAATTCATAATTAAATCATTTTACATTAGAAAAATATAATCATAAATTCATAATTAAATCCAACATATGAAGTAATATCCGCAATATATATTATTATAATTCTTATAATTATAATTTTTGAGCTTATATATATACACATTAATACACTCCTTTTTACTCTTCACTATGCAAAAGGAGAGTTTAGAGAGAGAAATTTAATATTTTGTAGAGAGAGAAAGTTGGCCATAATATACTCAATGGCTTTCTCCTCTTCTACACCATCATCATTAACATTTTCTTGTAAATATTTTTGTTTATCTATACTCCTAACATGGCTTACAACCCATGTTATGATAGTTTCCGCTTCGGTATCGACCCTTGGGCTAACCCCAGAGGTGGTGGCTAAGCAGAACGCCGACCGCGTCGTCGACTTGCCAGGGCAGCCGGTAGTTGGGTTTAAGCATTATGCTGGTTATGTGAATGTGAATGCTAGTCATGGTAGAGAACTGTTTTATTGGTTTTTTGAAGCTGATCATAATCCTCATCTTAAACCTGTGGTTCTCTGGCTTAATGGAGGTAATTATCATATTTAACTAATTTAACTGTTTTATTTATTATGTACAATTATTTTTTTATATATATGGCCTTAGATTTATAGCAATTTTACTTTATAATTTAGTATGATTTTAAAAAATATTTTAAACTCAATTTATACACCATAAAATTAAGTTTTTGGTTGAGTTGGTCCTTTAACATGGTATCAGAGCCAACGTGACATAGAGGTCACGGATTCGAATCTCATCACCCCTCCTTCAAAGTGAAATTAATTCGCTTCAGGGCCTGTGTTTAGGGGTGTACAAAAATTGGCCCGGACCTGAAACCGGACCTGAACCGACCTGAACCGGACCTGACCCGGACCTGTTGATTCAGGTCCGGTCCCGGTTCTTAAAAATCCAGGTTCCCGGTCCCGGTCTGGACCCGGTCCAAACCCGGGGTTTTCAGGTCCGGACCTGAAACCCGGGAAAACCGTAATTAAAAAAAAAAAAAAAAAACCAAACTCTGAAAAATCGTGGACTTATTTGTATTTTCGGTGGACTCATTTGTATTTTTGGTGTTAGAGAATCGGGACTTTATAGACTTTATGTAGTTTTGTAATTGATAATTTTGGTTTGTATATAATTATTAAATTATGCAACAGGTCTAAAAATCACAAAACAGGTCCATATGCAGGTCCATATGCAGGTCCAACAGGTTTTGTATTAAAAAAAAAAAAAAACGAAAAAGACACAAAACAGGTCCATTCAGGTCCAAACCCGGACCGGACCTGATTTTTCAGGTCTGGCCCGGAACCGGACCTGTTAATTCAGGTCCGGTCCCCGGTCCTCATAATTACCCAATTCAGGTCCTCGGTCCAAACAGGTCCGGTCCAGGTCCGGTCCGGTTTTGGACCGGTGTACACCCCTACCTGTGTTGCATCCACATTTCAAGCCCAAAGGACCTTTCATGTGAGGGGGAGTGATAGAGTATAAAACATATTCCTGGGCCTCAATTATAAGTTTAAGTTTTTGGTTGAGTTGTTCTCTAACACTGCGGTCTCATGTAAAATCTTTGAAAAAAAAAAACCTTAATTTTATATGTTTATAATAATAATATATGAGACTCGAAAGTTGTCAAATATGTTGCATCTCCTTTAAACAAAGGAGAAAAGGTTAATTATAATGTTGTTTATGAGATTATTGATTGTGATTAAGGAAGTTAGTTTGAGTCAAATTAAACATAGGAGTATATGAGTATATGATTAGTCCAAATAAAACAAAGTTAGTCACCTTTTATATAGTTATAAATGCAATTTTGTTACGTGGTCCTTGTAATAATAATTAATGGCATGGCATGCATATATACAAAGTTAAAGTGTCTCTATTCTCCTACTTTCTAATTATTTCATTGTTAGGTTGAAATTCCCTTTCTGTCAATTATTATTATTATTGATATTTTGTTTAAATTTCCTTTAAGACTAATAATTTGATTGATTTATAGGATAAGTTATGCCCTACCAATTAATAAAACTTGGCTAGGCTTTTTTATCAGTTAATATTGTTGGTTTGTCATTCCACATTATTGTATTTTAAGGTATGGTCAAGTCATAGTTTAGGAATTGATCGATTTGATTTCACTAGAATGACTATTAATACGACCATTTCTTTTAAAGATAGAATCTTGTTTGTTTATCGATATACCAAAATTTATTTATTTTTTTCTTTATTACAAATTGATTGTGCAATAAATATTTGATAGTGAAATAAGCAATAGTATGTTCAATTCTTGTATCAAAAATTCATTAAATCAAGAGATTCTTTCTAGTTGCTACTTGCTTCCTACCTTCAATATAAAGTCTAGTTACAAAATTGTCCCATTCTCTTTTTGGTTCGTGGACCAAAGATTTACTCAAGTACTGCCTCATGGACTGTCAGATAACAGTTTCAATTGTATTCTCTCATAGGCTCTTAAAATTCTCTTACTTTTCTGCAATTTGTTTTACACTTTTCAATAATAACGTCTTAGAAATTGCTAATAAGTGTACTTACGTCCAAACAAACAACCACTTAATTTAAAAAATTGTAGGGGTTGTTAAATACATAAAATACTGTTAAATTATAAAATGAATACGGAGTATAAAAGAAGTCAAAGATCCTCACGTAATGAATGAACACTCATTAGTAAACATTCACATCAACAATGGTTGGCCTTGTGGTCCATTTCTTAGTTAATTAACTAAAAAGGTTTATATTGAAGGTTCTTCATAGTTTAACATCGCGAAAAGCTTCTTATAGTTCGATTTAATATACTTCCTTCATCTCATTTTACTTGCCTTATAATCTCATTTTACTTGCCTCATAATAACTGATACCGGGAAAAACTTTATTATTTTAATGTTTAAATTCATGTATGATATCATTAACATTTTCTATAAATAATAATTAGGTAGTTGTATTCTATATAGAAATAATTATATCATTGAACCGTAGGTTGTATATATTGTCCCACCACGTGAAACAAATGCAGTAGTAATAGACTGTAGCCTGTAGGCCCTTTAGAAAGGCTGAAACCTCCAATATGCTAAAAAAATAATGTGCTCTGATTCTTCCAACTAACCAACTTGCTTGTTTTACTAGAAACTATCAAAAATTCAACTTATTACTGTTATAAAATCTTTGTTAAAAATGTCAATTTTGTAACATGGTCCGTGTCACCTGAATGTTCCTTGCCCGCTTGTCACCTGCCCATTTTATTCATATTTGGGACGAATATTTAAATCTAATCTACTCAATAAAAGTAAATGGATTAGATGATACTGATAGTATAAAATTTTCGTTATTTACAAAGGGAAAATTGTCGATACACCTTAAGTGTTATAACACGTCTTTGCTGACGATACTGATAGTATAAAATTTTCGTGATTTACAAAGGAAAAATAGTCGATACACCTTAAGAGTTATAACACGTCTTTGCTCTCTTTGTTACATGACTAAGTCGTGAATACCATGGTCTAGTCGCGGGAGCTCCACTTGTCAGGTCACAATCTTGAGTAATGGAGAAAATGTTATGCTTGGAAGAGTGGCCACAACACAACTGATTACCAAGATGATATTATGGTGGATACTACAGTGTGACAAATATACCATCTAGATATTTGACCATTTACTATGCTCTGTCCATTATTATATATGCTTCCAGACAAGTTGATGTCATTACCACCTCGGGCCCCTCTCCGCCCCACCCTCCCTCTGTTTGGAATTAGTTGTCGTATTGTCCCTATTCATAACATTAGACCTTTAATACTATTGGATTTTTTTATTTTTTTAATTTTCTTATCCCTAATCTTTGTTACTTAATTCCGGACAGAGGGAGTAGTAGATACGTATTGACTAAAGAAGCTAATCCACAAGTATGTATCATAAAGCCAAGTTGTCAGAGGGATACAAATTCAGCATGTAATCACTTGAATTTTGTACAAATTCATTAGGAGTATACATTGAAAGCCAAATTGTACATTCTTATACCATGATTTTTTTTTCCCTCCTAGGCTGTTTTTGTACATTGAAATCGTTTAGATATAATTTTGAGTCTTTTGACCTTAACAATGTACGTAACTTGAACTAACAATGTAACAACTAATTTTGGACAGAGGTAGTACAAAATGTGATGTTAGTCCATTGAAACTCGAACGTGTTTTATTCATTTGTGGCTATACTACAGGTCCTGGATGCTCTTCGGTTGGTTATGGTGAAGCTGAAGAGCTAGGTCCCTTCTTCCCTAAGAAGGGAAGCAAACCGTCGTTGAAACACAACAAATTCTCATGGAATAAAGGTAGAACTGAGTTTTAATTACCTGAAAAAATACAAAGAATAAGGTGCATTAACCAATATCTGAATTCTGACAATTATATTACTGGTTTATCTTTCAGCTGCAAATCTGTTGTTTTTGGAGTCTCCTGTTGGTGTTGGTTTTTCTTACACCAATACTAGCAGTGATTTTGATGAACTAGGTGACACTTTTACAGGTGATTAATTTAGTAGATATGTTTGATTGAATGTCATAGTTTCAAGCTATTGTTTCTTAACTCGTTTTCTCTTATTCAAACAGCAAAGGATTCTTACATATTCCTTGTCAACTGGTTCAAGAGATTTCCGCAATTTAAGTCCCATGAATTCTATTTAGCAGGGGAAAGTTATGCAGGTAAACATATGCAAAGTTTGTTAATGTGTTTGTTGCTCCGAATTATTTCTCTTTGAATGACCTTGTATTGGGACAACGTTTGTTTCAAATGTTACCTCCTTAGGCCACTATGTTCCACAGCTCGCAGAGTACATCTTTGACAGTAAAAAACATGCTTGCAAGGAGGATTTTATCAATCTGAAAGGTTTCTTGGTAAGCTTCATAACAAATACTTTGTATATAATTACTGCTAAACAAAATTGAGAAAATGGAGTTATAAATTTTAATGCAAAAGATGTCAAGCTAGCATTAATTTTCTGATACTACTGATATGGCATGTTGCAGATTGGGAACGCGTTGTTGGATGATGAAACAGATCAAACAGGAATGATCGACTATGCCTGGGATCATGCTGTTATATCAGATAAAGTCTTCAGAGATGTGAAGAGAAAGTGCAACTTCAAAGTTGAGAACGTATCAGATGATTGCACAAGTGCACTTAATGAGTACTTTGAAGTTTACGACCTGATAGATATGTACAGCTTGTACGCGCCTATCTGCACAAAAAATTACACTGATGTTAACAGCAGCAACAGCAGGAGGCAACTTTCTGCCATCAAAGGCATTGCACCTCGCGTGTTCTCCAAATTTGTTAGTAATCTAATCTCTATCAAAAAACATACAGGAAAAGTATCATCGCGAATTTGTATCTCCTTAGACTTATTCCCAACATGTTTTACAGGATAAATGGCACAGGCGGCCTGCTGGATACGACCCTTGTTTAGATCATTACACAGACGTGTATCTAAATAGGCCAGATGTTCAAGCAGCACTTCATGCCAATACCTCGAAAATTCCTTACGCTTGGACCTTCTGCAGGTAAATGAATCTCTTAAAACAGAACCCCTGCATTTTCTGACAAAATATATAATCAGTACTAATATGGTTTGAACTGATAATGGTGATACGAACAGCGACAACATTACATTTTGGGCTGATGCACCTGCCTCAATACTTCCTGTTATTAGGAAGCTTATAGATGGTGGGCTTCGGATATGGGTTTTCAGGTTAGTCAGTCGCAAACTTGCAACTCCTGATTACTTCGTACATATATAAGCAAATGATTGATACATAAAACCACATATATTGAGAAAATACTGTATTGAATTCCAGTGGAGATACTGATGGGAGGATTCCTGTGAGTTCGACGAGGTTAACACTCAGAAAGCTTGGCTTGAAGATCAAACAAGATTGGACACCCTGGTATAGCAAAGATCAGGTATAAACTCTTGTTCTGGTGTAGCAAAGGAACATTTTTGTTGCTTAACAACCATATTAAATGATACAGGCCGTGTTCTCTTCACCTTATTTAATTCTCGAGACAAATATAGTTACATGTAGCTCTTTTTTTTTTTTTTTTTTTTTTAACATGATATTATATTGAACTCTGCTATTACAGGTTGGTGGATGGACCATTGCCTATGATGGGCTGATGTTTGTTACAGTTCGAGGCGCGGGTCACCAAGTTCCAACTTACAAGCCAAGGGAAGCCCTTCTGATGCTCAGGCATTTCCTTGCCAACAAAACAATGCCGTCTAAAGCCTTTTGATAAACGCGCTATGATGCATTGCTTCAGTTTCCATCCTTACATATATATCAAGAATAATTAGTTCAATTTTTGGTTGTCAAGATTTTTATCAAGAAAAAAAGAACAAGTGATGTTTGTTTAGGTTGAAGAACTTCCATATATAGGGAGGGGTCTAATTGCTAATTGTAAAGCATTTTTTTTACACAGAAAAGAAACAAATTATAGATAAAGGAGTAGTTTTTGGAAAGGAAATTTGATCAATAAATGAAGTATGGGCATCTGTAATTCTTTGAATGCTTGTTCTATAATCCAATATCCTTAAAATTAGTTTGTTGTTCTCAAATTTTTGTTCATTGCTTTAGATTTTTTTGGGGATGTCATCTTGCACAATTTCGCAATGGTTAAAGTGATTCTTGTAAACATAATGAACATTTGAGCATTTAAATGAGATGATTATATCGTAAGACATGAGAGACTTTACGTAGTTAGTAAAGGTGACATTTATTGTTGGACAAGCCGTGACTGTTGTTGTAAATGGGTTGATTTCGCCCCATTGCTCCAAACAATCTAATGCTATGACATCAATGTTTCGAGTAATATGTCAATAACTAAGGACCAGTTCTCTTTAGTTAAGTTCAGTTCAGCTCAGTAAGTCATCTTTTGAAAATTCATTATCGATAGAGGTGGCTAACCGATCGTTCCAGAATGGTTAGGCGGGGGTCGCAATCGGCCCATGAAGTAACATAGTTGCGCTGGTTCATGTAGACCGGTCTAGCTAGGAACAACTTTCGCCTAATAAAGTTGGACTTTGGCAAACTCAGATGAAACCTAACGGTCAATATAAACTCTATATAGCTATTTTGATTACTACTGTCGTTTCACATTTATTTGCAACTTATGTTACTCGGACTTTGTTACTCATGTCCAACACGGGTATGTATCCAAGTGTCCGACAAGGCTATATATTTTGGGCAAATTTTCTATGATTTTGAACTAAAATAAAGTATCCAAATGTCATACAATATCAAGGGTCCGACACGAGTACTTAAGATAAAGTGAAGAGATCAAGTAATATATAATACAACATAAGGGCTATTATTTGTAAGATAAAAATAATTTTTTTCCTTACAATTAGTATGTAATGGAGGTGGTAGATTATTCAGCTAATTACATTAACAGTCAAAATTAAACTAATCCTAGTCAAAGACTGATATAAAGTAGGAAGAGCTGTTGATCTCCAAAAAAATAAAAATTAGATAAATAATTAAAATAAAATAAAATTTACAAGGATGCAATAGAAAGCAATTGACCAAAGAGTGGGAGACCACATTGATAAAAATCAAGTTTTCAGCTGTCCAAACTTGCATCTTCTATTACTGGCTGTTGAAGCAACTGAACAAGATGTTAACAAGCTTGAAATTAATCATACCCAAGTTGACTGATTTATATGGAAAGTTCTTAAAATTTGACTTTTCTATACAAAAAATTAAACCACCAACTTTTTTGATATTTAAGTGACTTCTAGTGCAAAATACAGTATTGTCATAGGCTCATGGCATTAAATTTTATGCAATTTAGGGTCTGTTCTTATTGACTAAACGTGAACTGAACTGAACTGAGATGAACTGAACTGAACTGAAATGAATATTTTATAAGAGAACTGAACTGAACCACCAACTTTTTTGATATTTAAGTGACTTCTAGTGCAAAATACAGTATTTTCATGGGCTCATGGCATTAAATTTTATGCAATTTAGGGTCTGTTCTCATTGACTAAACGTGAACTGAACTGAACTGAGATGAACTGAACTGAACTGAACTGAAATGAATATTTTATAAGAGAAGGAAATTAGGAGTTGAATTGAACTGAGCTGAACTGAACTGAACTGAACTGAACTGAATTTCAACGTATGAGAACAGGCCCCAGCTTATTCTTCGTGCTCTCTTCGACTCCGAAAAAATTATATCGCACATAAAAGATAGCATACTAATTGTAGGTAAAAGTGTCTCCAATTAAGTTTATTCCACCATGTGACACTTTCTTTCATTTTCATCTCATTCATGTGTCGTTTTAATACATTATTCCTTACACATATTTAAAATTTGAGGATGACCGAAAACTTATCCACTAACCTATATTACGTTAGATTAAATGATTATATTTACAAAATAAGATCTGCATCCAAAAAAAAAGGTTAAGAATGATTATATTCCAAAACTAGTGTGTTAATTATGCATAGAGTTAAAACTTTGGTTAAAAATGTGGTGTCATTTGCTAAAAGAAACTATTATTCATATGCAAATGTATACAATATTATTGTTAATAATCTCTAGATCCAACAAAAAGAAAAATTCAAAAAGTGCAAAAATTAGGTAATAGCTTAAACTGCAACATTCCACTTTGTCTTACAAAAAGACTTCCTTTGACACAAACTCATCATTTTATATAGCTAACTTCTTTCCCTCAAATTTAAGCATTATTCATGTAATAAGCGATACATTGTTTCAATTCTTTGGGTAGTAACACTTTACTGTTTTATAGGTATTAAATAAATGTACTTTCTTTCTTTACTAGTACTAAAACTCAACATTTTGAGTCTTAATTAGTAAATATTTCAGTGTACAAAATGATCATCAACTATTGTTTGCTATGGCTGCTGGCTGCAAGCACCATGATTAATCTGGCCGCTGCACGGAACAGCCTGAGCCCGGAAATAATGGCGGAGCAAAGGGCGGATTTCGTCGAGAGGCTTCCAGGGCAGCCAAAGGTGAGTTTTAAGCAGTATGCAGGGTATGTGACAGTGAATGCAAGTCATGGGAAGGCACTCTTTTATTGGTTTTTTGAAGCTGCTGAAAAGCCTCAAAATAAGCCTTTGCTCCTTTGGCTTAATGGAGGTACTATTTCATTTGTCAAGCTTGTTATTACATAGTACATTGTACCACGTATATTATATAATTATATTATCATACTATGTAGTACTCGTATATGTATATTAGACGTATATATATTTTTTTTGTCATAAAAATCTTGCCTTATAATGTTTGTTACAGAAGCTTTAGGAAATTAATTACTCTCATTGTCCCAAAATAAAAATGACACGTTTGCTAAAGATATGTCAAAATAATTCGATGTTTCTAAGTTTAGTTTTCTCTGTTAATGACACACTATAGTACGTACATTAGTACTATACAATTGATTTGTACATTATCATGGTAGATAATTAATAAGCCATCTAATTCATTGCCTAAAACAAAAAAAAAAAATACCTAGAGTTGATTATAAGAAAATTTCCTTTTGGCACAAAAATGAAACATCAACATCAGTTTTGGTTGATGATGGGTGTAACAAGAATACAATATGTATAATCTGATGAGTATAATAATTAGTTAGGTGTTAAGACTTGGCCTCTAGCTGTTTGTTATCATTAAATCTTAGGTCGAGTAGTTAAGCTCCTCTTAACTAATAAATATTTTCAATTAAACCATTAGGTCATTATTATTAGAAAGTTAAATCATAAAATATTTCCTCTGTTCCTATTTGATGTCTTTAGTTCATCATTAATATTATCGATACATATATATGATTACATATGTGACATCATATTGAATTTTTCTCGATGTTTAGTTTCATTACAAATTTAATTTTCAGGATTTAAAAATTATGTATCTGGGGAAGTAAATTAAAATATGTGCGTTGTTAAAAAAGCGAAAAGCAAACAGTAATAACAATACTAGTTTAAGAAATGAAACAAATTTTGTCACAAATTATTTTAAAAGGTATATTAACAACAATTTTCAAGTTTCAATTTTCTAAGTTGTTTCTTAAATTGCATATACAGGGCCAGGATGCTCTTCAATTGGGTATGGAGAAGCAGAAGAGTTGGGCCCTTTCTCTCCTCAAAAGGGCAGCAAACCCAAACTAAAGCTCAATAAGTACTCTTGGAATAAAGGTTAATAATCTTGTGTACATTTACTCTTGTTGAAATTCTAGGGGAGGGATTTTAAAAAGGTTATTTTTCACAAAATCGCGAAAAAAGTCATGTTACATACACTATTCGCGATATAAATGTTACATTGTAGCATTTTTCATTAATACATTGTAGTTTTTACATAAAGTATTTTGTATTTTCAGCTGCCAATCTTTTGTTTCTGGAATCTCCTGTTGGTGTTGGATTTTCTTACAGTAATACTAGCAGTGACATAAGTGAACTTGGCGACACCATTGCAGGCAATCATCCTTCAATCTTTTCTAAGTTAATCTAGTACTCTCTTTGCGTGAATACTAGAAATAACAGACGAACAGTACAGTAACATTGTCTTAACCCTTCAAAATGTTACAACTTTTCCCGGACTAATAGAGTAATTATATTGGTATCAATTTTATGTTTTTGACTGTATTTTTTTTTTCTTTTTTTTTTTTTTTACCTTGATCATGATCAACAGCTAAAGATGCATACAACTTTCTAGTCAGTTGGTACAAAAGATTTCCACAGTTTAAGTCCCATGATTTTTACCTTTCTGGGGAGAGTTATGCAGGTAATGAAATACATATACACTTCACTCTATTCTTAAGCATTTTTCATCAGTATTTATTTGAAACTAACATTGTACTATACTCTATAATAAGTTGTTAATTCTTTTTCTTATCCTACTTATAAGGTCATTATGTTCCACAACTTGCTAAGCTCATACTCGACAGCAATAAGATTGCTTCTAAGGAAGATCAAATCAAACTGAAAGGTTTCATGGTAAACATTCATCAATCCTTATATAATCTCATTTTGTTGAATCATTCTTCTAGATTTTTTGCTAAGAAAATGAATTGTATCTTAGTACACAAGTTTTTTTTTTGAGGTTGAAATATGAATGCATATTAATGTCAATGGAGGTCTGCTTATAATGTACAGTAACATTCTTCAGATTGGAAATGCACTGTTAGACGACGAAACTGATCAGAAAGGGATGGTTGAGTACGCATGGGATCATGCAGTGATATCGAACCGTGTTTACAATGATCTGAAGAAAAACTGTGACTTCAGTAAGAAAAATTTGACTACAGAGTGCAACAATGCTCTGACTCAATACTTTGCTGATTATAGACTGATAGATATATACAACTTGTATGCTCCAATATGTATCGAAAACCAGACTAAAACTCACAGAAGAAATACTCAGCCTCCTGTCATTGATGGTGTTTCTCCTCGACTGTTCTCCAGATTTGTAAGCCATAAATCCCTTGTTTTTGTTCAGTCACAGGCCCTGTCGCGACAAACTGTTTAACAGCTTGGACTTGCTGTTCTGTTGTAGGAAGGTTGGCTCAAAAGACCGTCAGCAGGGTATGATCCATGTGCATCAGACTATACAGATGCTTATATGAATAGACCGGATGTCCAAGCTGCCTTACATGCCAATGTTACGAAACTTCCATATCCATGGACTCACTGCAAGTAAGTCTTAGTAGCACACTAGCTAGTACAGTAGACAGGCTAAGATTTGAACTCGTGACCTTTGTGTCACGCTGGCTCTTGATACCATGTTAAAGGACCAACTCAACTAAAAGGTTAAGCTGATGGTTGAGGCCTAGAAATATGTTTTATACCCAGTCAAACTAATTAAGGCCTAAAGCTGCTAATTTAGTACGCATTGGTTGTATCTATGGTTTTGCAGTAACAATATCACTTCTTGGAGTGACTCTCCATCCTCGATACTTCCTACAATAAAAGAGCTTATAGCCAAGGGTCTTCGCATTTGGATATTTAGGTGATTTACTTCCCCTTCCTCAGTTCTTCCCCTCATGCTCGCAAAACCTCACTTCTTGTATGTATCACAAACAACTGATCACGATTGTATTGGTATCGACAGTGGAGATAATGATGGGAGAATTCCGGTAACATCAACTAGGTACACTCTTAGAAAACTCCGGTTAAAAACAGTTCAAGAATGGACTGCATGGTATACCAGCTCACAGGTAATACATGTAACATGTTACATTGTTACATGACCTATAAAATTGTACATATATTATACCAAAACATTAATGTTTGAGGTCAAATTATATTTCTGAAGGTGTTTGTCTTATAATATATAGGTTGGAGGATGGACAATACAATACGAAGGATTGATGTTTGTGACGGTAAGAGGTGCAGGGCATCAAGTTCCGACGACTAAGCCAAGACAAGCTCTGCAGTTGATCAAGCACTTCTTAGCTGGTAAAAAACTACCAGATGCACCACCTTCATGATGAATTGTTGATGATGATAAACAACCATTTTATTTGCCATAAATTTTACAGATTATAGTCTCTTTTGTTTTGTATTAAGCTTTTAAGAGTTATGATTAGCACCAAATGTGAGAGTGAGAATATGTATTACCATTGTATTGTAGATTACATTTGATTTGTAGAGCATTCTTTGATAGAAAGTACTTCAGATAATTTGATAACTTACAGGAATTTATATCTTTTAAATTTTATGAGGTATGTATCTTAAAATTTAGCACTATTTTATTGATAATCAAGAGTCACTAAAAGCCAACTTACCTCGTGTTTAAGTGGATTATACCTAAAACGAGCCAAGAAATACTTGTGGCATGCCAGACTCATGTCAATCACTGTGTCATCGGACCACTTTATAATTTTTACACGTTGATCTGTTGTGTTTGTGTTAAATTTTGAAAACAAAGCTCATAAGTTTCATAACTAACTAGCATGCCTCTTGTGTCATGTCTTATAACGGGATAACTCTAGGTCGGTATCCGTGTCGTGTCTAATCAGCCCTCGCCCGGTCCGGCCCATTTCTAGCAATAGTGAACAAATAATAAAACAGAAAAAATAAAGCGCAGCAGATAATACTCAAGTAGATGAAACATTAAAACCATAGAAAAACTGAAGATTGAAGAAGAAGAGGAGAGAAAGAGAGAGAGATAAAAATGGCGAAGACGAAGAAGCAATTACTATCATCAGCACCATGGAGAGAAGAAGAAAATCCCTCTGATAAATTCAAAGATGCAAAGCTCAAAGTCACCAATCAACCTGGTAGTACTCCTACTATGCATGTTCCTGGTAAAAAGAAGAATTCTCTCTCCTCCAACAATGGCGCTGATGATGATGATGATTCTCTCTCCGAAATTGACCCCCAACTTCGTTACAGTTTCCAGCGCAACTATCAGGTTTTCTGCTTTCCCTTTTTTTCGATTTTTCTGGGATTTTTTTTTAAGAGTTTAATTTGTGACTTTGGAGTGTAATTATGCTCTATTTTGACGAATTATGAAATGGGGTTGTTTTTTTTGTTGAATTCTTATTGAATTTTAGGAGTTAGGCTTTGGAATTGTGTTTTTGGATTGTAATTCAATTCTGTTTCTTTATGGTTTCCTTTCTTCTGTGTTGAAATTCAGTAGTTAGGGTTTTGAAATTAGAAAATTACTAAAAAGTTACAAATTTTTGTTGGATTATTCAAATTGAGGGGTCAGATGATTAAAAATGGAGTTGGAGTGTTGGGGTTTACACCCTTGACATAGCTGAAAAGAGTTTTGGAATCATGGGGTGATGATGATATTCATGGTTTTATTCTGATTGTACTTGTTTGAATGTGTGATGCCTAGGATGTTCATTCTGTATTCGAGTGTACTTGCTTGTAGCTTTACCTGCCATCCCAGGACTCGGGTTGGCGTAAATTATTGAAATTTCATAGGATGATTTCACTAGATTTTACTGAATATCAAATGTTGGAGTAAGGTGTCCAATTAATATTGTTCTGAATTGTAGGAGTGTGTTTTCTTAAGATTTTCGTGTTACTCTACCCGGTTCTCAAACTAAGTTGATGAATGTCATCTAGGAAATTCTTTAGATGGTATGTAGTTTGGGAAAGGTGCCCTATTCACAATAATTATAACTGTAGCGTGCAAGGGGATTGTGATGGACTGATGGCTATTGACAAGGGTTCTTGAGACTGGAGTTACTCTATTAATACTAGGTATCTCTTTCTTCCTATATGTAATAACTATTGACAAGGGTGATTCTGTACTCAAGGAAGGAAGTGTTCCTAAATTTCTTCAACAAAATAGGATATTATATCTTTGAGGCATGGCTTATCATTGATGAAGTGCCTTTTTTGTTCTTGTTCTTCTCTTGAGGTTCAAGAAAGAGAGCTTTGAAGGGACAGCAATGACACTGAAAATGTTCTTACTTCGTATTATGATTATGCGCGCTCTTTAGGATTAATTGTCTTTCCTATTCTTCTTTTTCTTATAAAGTTTAAGAAAGAGAGCTTTAAAAGAGAAAGCAATTTCTCTGTAAATGTCTCATATTGGCTTATGACTATTCGCACTCTTCAGGATTCCGTGAATCAGACTTACTATTTGAAGATAAAGGACCCTAAAAAAGCTTGGTTGGCATGAGGGTCACTGCTACTTCGGGCCTAAACAGCTTGTACATTGAGCTCTTTACTTTTGAAGATTAAACTTTGGGCTATATTGTGATTTTTTATTTTCATATCAAGCCTCAATGTAGATAAGGTCCCAGAAGCTATTGATTATTAGTACTTATAGAAACTATATACTAAAAGGGTGGACATACCGCATACAAATATTCATCTTTATTATTTTTAGGAAATTATATCATTATATGGGGGTTGTTGAATCTTTTGAAGGAAGAGGAAACTATTCCTTTTATTCCTTAGTTAATGTAGATCTTGGATATAATTCATTCTCATCCTTCAACTTCTTATGTTGGTTATTCACTGTGTTTTTTGTTTTTATGGAGACCATTATATTAATAATAGCAGGTTTCACTGCTTTTCATCTGCCTTAAAAGCTGGAATCTTATCAACTCTGAGAAAATTATGTAGCACAACTTTAAAGTATCTGAAATATTATTCCAAATGTTTTATTTTCCTGCTAATTCTACAAAGATCAAGGGCTGCTTGTTCTAAATATTGTTTGCTTGAAGGTGAAAGCAGTTTTTTGGAAAAGTTAAATAACTCCTATGCTTGTTTCTTCTGTAATGTTCCACCTTTTTTTGCCCCTGGTATCTTTTTTGGGCAAGTTTATAGCTTTTTTAAGGAACTAAAACCCATAATTAAATACGTTTGGGTGATTGGGCATCAAAACTCTGGAGTACTAGCTGTATTTCTCTTAAATTTAGGGGTCGTTTGGTTCGCACGAGGGAATCGGAATGGAATGAACAAAGGGAAAGACAAGGAATGGAATGAAAATCCCCCAATTTTGGGGTGTTGTTTGTTTTGAATAACAAAGGAATGGAATGAATGGAAAGCCACCACCACACCACTACCACTCGCCTTCACTTTCAATCATTTTTAGCCACCACCCAGCCACTCCACCCACTCGCCGCACCTCCTCCACAACTCCCCCCCCTTCGCCACACCACCACCACCCCTCGTCGCGCTGCCTCGACCTCTCGTCCCCCGAAAAAACCACCCATAGCCCCGAAAAACCCTAACCCCGATCTCCCTTGACCCCGAAAAAACCACCCGCTGGGCGCCGGATTTCGGGGTCAAGGGAGATCGGGGTTAGGGTTTTTCGGGGTTATGGGTGGTTATTTTGGGGGAGGGGAGGGCGGCGAGGCTCGGGGGAGGGTCGAAGGAGGGGCGGTGGTGGTAAGGGTAGGGGCGGCGGTGGTAAGGGTAGGGGCGGCGGTGGTCTGGGCTGGTTTTCCGGTGGTGATGTGAAGGTGGGTAGGGAATGGAATGGAAATACCTGGGGGGTGGGGAATGAAGTTAGAGGGATTTTGGGGAATGAAGGGGGTAAAGGGAATGGGAAAAATGGGCTAACAAACAACAACAAAGGGAATGGGGGCAGTTGATTCCCATTCCCTTTGATGATTAACCCCAACCAAACGGCCCCTTACTTCTATGAGGTCTGTATGAGTATATGTATTTATGTTGATCTTATTTTGATATTTTTCATATTGTTTATATAATGCTTACTCTTATCTGTGGATCTATTTGCAGTTTCTTCAGCGGGTGTTTAGCATTGACACCCTTGTCAAACCCCTCCCTCCAGTGATGGCGTATAATGTTTCTCGCAACTTGAGCTTCTTCACTCGTATTTTCACCCAGTTTTTTGGTAATACAAACTTCTTTGGTTTGCTTTTCCCTCTGTTCTAAAGTTTGACTGGGTAGTGCATATGTCTCAGCCCCTCAGAAGTCAGAATTGTTCCTGAACCCAAATTGTTTGGAAAGATCATAGGCTTTTTTATGTTTGCTGCTATGATTTTTAATTTAACTCCTCTAAGTGCAATTTGATTCATATGCTCCTTATCACTTATCAGCCATGTCAGATTTACTTGCATTCTTTTATCTTGTTTGCTAATTGCTATCATGTAGAGTCTCTCATCTCATTTGTCAAAAAGGAAAAGCTGGAAAATCATATGTGATAATGGGTCCCTCTTTTTTATGAACCGCTGCTTTATTTGAGTGTCTGGCTGTCATGTTGTTTGCTTGCTTCCCGATTACTACTTTCATTTTAATTCTCTCACCTCTTTGTTGAATTAATCAAAATATTGCATCATATCTTTTGATTTGGTTTACATCTGAATCTGATTAATGCACTTTAAAGGGGACTTAATTGATTGTCTTGACATCTTAGTATACGCTTGAATTACCAAAAAAAAATAAAAATAAAAGTCGTCTTATGTGCCTATGCTTCAGGCTAGAAGCTATGAAGTTGACCACTCTATGGAATGTTGTTGGGCGCATATTAGCCACATGTGCATAATAATTTTGTCATAGTTACAAGTGAAAAATCATTCTTCTTTTCACCCTTTTGTAATCTTTGCGGGATCATCCAAAACAATCACTCTTCTTTTCACCCATTATATACAGCAGGTTTGTAAACAATCCTCCTGACGGTGATGATTGCGGTTTTGTCCTTTTGTTTGAGAAGTTGGTCACTATCAAAAATTGATGAAAAAAAGGGGTAAAAGATACATAAAGTATGCCATGAGGACGGTCTAGAATTGTGAAGATCCAAAATGCTAATATCATATAGTCAATAGTCTACTCATCTAGTGAACTTCTAGCTGAAGCACTCCCTGTCTGGTCCATTATAATTTTTGGCTGCTCAGCATTTTCATCTATGTTATTCTGCTCTGAAGCCTTTTGAGGTCTGGGGTGGAATTTTCAGTCTTCTGTGAATCCTAACCATTTCATATTGCAAAACCCTTCACACTTATTGAATATGAAATTTAGGTCCTAAAAAAACTGTAAATCTAATTATTGATTTTTTGCCTTAAACAGATCCGGAAGGCATCTCAAATGCTCAAAAATCGCTTGGACTTGGACAAGAAGAGAAGGTCCGACGTGTTCGTTAACCAGAAGAAATGCATGTGAATAGCATGTTTTTTGCACGAATTCCTTTTTATTGTCACTTAAGCATGCTTTCTTAGTTGCTTAACAAATGGAGGGAGGTGTGGATGATATATTGTTACATTATATCTTGTGCTGAATTCCATTTTT